GATTGCATTCGAGTCAATGAGTCGATGCAATCAACTGGTTTTCCTTAGATAGAAAACTTTAGATCAATTTGACTGGATGATCTGGTGAACTGTAAAAAGCCTTGAGATGACATGTGTTGTGAATTGAAGCTTTAGAAGTAAACAGAACTGAATTTAATAGATAATCACAACTTTTTGCTCCCATTTGGGCGCGTAACTCCGGCTCCCCACATGTTGCCTGCGCCATCTTGTTCTTTCTCGCCTCAATGATGCTTTGTGAGAAGAGCTCTTGAAAAGCACTCTGGGATATACTGTATGTGCTTGTCTATTAACCTTGGAAGTACACTACTTTTCAAGGTGCATTGTGGAAAAATTTCCACTACTTTTTGATCCACTAGACATTCGGATGCTCATTTAAAATGGCCTAACCCCTGTGTCAGGTCGGACATTAGCACACAGTCACTGCTGCTCGTTACCATATAATGCAGTAGATCTGTAAACATAGATCACTCTTGGTGATGCAGAATTATAGGTTTAGGTTGGTTTAGTAGCTTCTACAGCTGTGGATAATCTTTGCTTTTCGTCAAAGTAAGGTGAAGCGCTAAGGTACAGTGTTCGTTTGGGTGTAATACCACTGCTAGATTACAGTAATTGAACACATACTGAATACAGTACTTGAACACAGAATTAAGAGAGATAAAGATGGTGAAATAGACTGAGATTTTGTTTGTCATTTTGTTTGCATAGGTATAAAACAAAAATAAATTTAGTTTGGAAACAGCTCACTGGACAATTTTATCTTTTTAAAAGTGCAGCCTTGAAAAATAGTAAAAAAAAATGTACTTCTAACATTTATTTTTCTTTATATATATATATATATATATATATATATATATATATATATATATATATATATATATATATATATATATATATATATATATATATATATATATAATAAATCTAATAATAAAATACTGAATAGCATGAAAAGCATGTGTAAATAAAGGGGTGAATGACTAAGTTTAGTGTAAACTGCTTTAAAGTCCTCTGACCTGAAAAACCGATACATAGGTACCATTACCAGTAGCTATCTCTTAATCCCTCACATCAACCATGCATACAGTGGAGACAAAAAGAGATGACTAATTATGGATACAGTTTTGCACCTTGTAAGTGAATTTTTTATTTTTTTATATTTTTTATTTTTGTTTCCATTTCTAGCTGACAAACAGGATTTAGCTGGACTGCAATCATTAGAATCAGCTGTGCTGCAGCAGGGAAACCTCTAATACCTGCAGGACAGCGGCCCTCGTTGTCCAATCTGTGATTGTGCATCATGGAAGGACTATAACACAGTAACTTCTAGATTTAAATGTTTTGTCAATCCCCCCATTACATCTCTTGACCCAGATGACTTTGTCAATTATAGACCTACAATCAATTTTCCTCATATCTAAAATTCTTGAGAAAATAGTTGCCAAACGACCATAATAAAATTTGAAGAATCTGGCTTTAGAGCTCATCATAGCACTGAAACAGCTTTGGTGAAAGTCACTAATGATATTCTTATGGCCTCAGATAATGGACTTGTATCTGTACTTGTCCTGTTAGATCTCAGTGCTGCAGTTGATCATAAAATTATTTTAGATAGACTTGAATATTTTGTAGGAATTTGTTTGTTCACATTAATGATAAATCATCCTCATGGTCCGTGGTTACCTGGAGCAAGGAGTACCACAGGGATCAGTGCTGGGGCCAATTATCTTTACTATATAAAGATGAAAGTGCGCATTCAGCGTCTGCTCTGCCAATAATGCAAGCGTAGAAGAAGAAATGTGCTGTTTACCTGTGCAAAGAAAGAAACAACGAAAGAAAAATGTCTGAGGACTTCAGTGTTGAGGAAGAGCATGAGTTCTTTGCCGAGCTGAATGCGCACTTTCATCTGGTTTGGTCTGCCGCGGTTTCCGTAGAGTCGTGAACTCGCAGGCGCGCGCTTTTAGGAAATCCTATACACTACTGTTTAGGCTCTAAAAACATTCTAAATGACTTCGTTTCGAGTAAATTATGGACGCTACCCACTCAGGACACTTGGAATACATTGGACGAGCAGTATGGAGGGATATTGACACGTTTTTTGTGGACTTTTATGGACCTTTCTGCCTCGGGCGCTATGGACCTCCACTATTTGAATGTCAGCAGACAGCAAGAAGCCTCCCAGATCTCCAGATGCATTTGAGATATCAAAAAAGTACTCCAGAGTGTTGTTCAGCATGGGGGTGAGTAGAAAATGAAGGCTAATCATGTTTTGGGTGTACTATTCCTTTAAACTTCTTGATGCTGCCATAGATTGTTAACTGAGGTGCAATCTTTCTAGCTGTGATTCTCTTTCCTGTTAGGCCATTTTTGTGCAGTGCAATGATGACTGCACGTGTTTCTTTAGAGATAACCTTGGTTCACAGAAGAGAAACAATGATGCCAAGCACCAGCCTCTTTTTAAAGTGTCCAGTGATGTCATTCTTACTTAATCATGACAGATTGATCTCCAGGCCTGTCCTCATCACCACCCACACCTGTGTTAACGGAGCAATCACTGAAACGATGTTACCTGGTCCTTTTAAAGCAGGGCTGCAATAACCTTGAAATGTGTTTTGGGGAATAAAGCAACATTTTCTAGGCAAATACTGACTTTGCAATTAACTGCTGTTACGCTGATCACTCTGGAATATATGCAAATTGCCGTTAAAAACTTTTGGCCATGACTGTATGTATATATATATATATATATATATATATATATATATATATATATATATATGTAAATAGATTGTATGAGTGATGAAGATGAAAATGAATGGTACAGACGTCTGGAGATGTGCATAATTGTTAAAAGGAGATTTAGCATGGTCGTGGGTTGATCTTTCTGAACTATTAAGATTTCTTACTATTAAATACTTTTAATTATTTACATATGTTGCACTTCTTTCCTCCATCGGTAGTCATTGACTGTTTTCAGATCAAATTATTTTCCTTTTTGTATTATTTTTACTTCCGTAACTGTGCAAACATCATTTACAGCCCTGTATTTCCCACTGCTAGGCTTTTAACCATTCCTTTAATTCTGCTGCTCAGCTCTCAGACTACAATCCGCAAACCTTTAAAGCTTTTCTTCTTCTATAATGCAATAGAAGTGTGGGAAATTGTTGCCTTAAAAATGACTGCTTTTACCAAGACTACAGCAGTTATCTGTAGATAATAATCATAGATAGTATTTCTAGTAAACTGCAGCAGTACAGATGATATTTTTTCTTTGTTACCCAAGACTTTTCAAACGTTCTTGCTCACAGTTTGTGACTTGTATCTCAAAGTAACACACACATATGATTTCATATCACTTTTATTGAGTGTGATTTGAACCAAACCTCAGCGTAAATTTCAAACAAGGACATTGATTTGTGTAAATGAAACAATCTAATTCCATCACACTGTGGAACCTCAATGTCCAGGTTATACACGGCATTCCCTTGCTTAAACATTGACTCATGGTGCGTTTCCAGATTGGTCAAAAACACAAACACAGCAGCATCTAGTCTCTGCCACATGGGCCAACACCCTGAAGTACTTTTAATCAGAAATGCAAAAATATATTTTTATATATACTAATTAATAAGTTAGGAATTTATTATGTTAATAATAAAACAATTATGGTTGTAGATCGAGACATGAAAAAGGTCCCATATAATTAAACTATTAACAGAAGAGTATGCAATTTCCCAATGTTTTGGGGTCAAATGTTTTCGATATGTTCTCAGCACAAAAAGGTTTGGGGGAATCTTAAAGTCTTAGGGAAGTGGCTTTTCCAGCCGCTGCATTTCCAAATTCTGAGTGGTGCCCGAATTACACAAGTGAATAAAGTGAATGATATCAGTCGCTGTAGCGTTGGCAAGCAAGTTTGGTTGTGGTTGGTTTGTCGGAAGCATCTTGCTAAGCAGTTAGCAACTTAGTGCTAGTAGGTTTCCAATGGGAAATGACATTGGGACCAAGTAGCACTAAATTGGTGACTTAGAAACTACACTGTCAAGGAACGCTATGGACAGCGGAAACATGCAAGAGGAGGAGAGTTTAGTGTCGGAGGTCGTGGATGAGTTTCCTCCATCATACATTTTTATTTAGAGGAGGAAAGCGGGGACGAAGATGTTGTGGAAGAGGACGTCAGGGCGGCAGAAGCTTGGTTTGGTGTAGAAGGCTTACAGCCGTACATGTTTGAGCCCTTGCATCGCAACGCTGCCAGTTCTGTTAGCTCTACGCCTGCTGAAGACACAGACGTCCATCCCTGTGGACACTGGGATGGAACTCAATGGGAAAGGAAATGATTCTTATTTCAAACATTGCGTATATTAGCTGCGACATATGAATCAAGATGCTATGACCGAAAAAATTTGATTGACAGATGACCGTTGTTATATGATTGGCCGAATTTAGTTGTACAGGCTGACGTATAACTAACTGGCCTGCAGAAGATAATGAAAAAAATAACAAAGCTTTAAGACAGGATTTCTTCTAAAATAGAATTTTTCTAACTTTTGGGTCAATATGGTCTGATAAAGAGTAAATTTATATACATGTTTAAGCCAGAATGATTTGAAATTTAAATACGACTTCCCTACGACTTTAAAAAAATATATATAAAAATCTGTTTTAATTACATAGATCAACTGAACTTGCTGCCCAAATTTGTACCATTTTGGTTATCTTTGCTGTAGAGACACACAAATTCTGTTTTCAATGATTATCAGAAAATCAAAACAAAATATAATTTTTGTACCTTCTAGAATCTTTCTAGTTTTTATATTCTATCTCTCAAAAGTGCAAATCAATACATTTTCCTCCAATTTGTGCCTTCTTAATCTCTGTAATTATCTCTTCATATCTGAAACATTCTGATAAACATCCCCTTCTATATTTGCTGGTCAGAACCATTTGCCAAAGATTGCCCAAGCATGATTATCTCATGCAAACTCTTCCATTTTCACTTTTAATTGATCATGTAAATAGTTCTTTCCAACTCATGACTTAGTCGACCCATTACCTATTGCAAAAACCACAAACAATGTGATATATTGGATTTGGCTATCAGAGAAAAATTCATTAGAATAACAATTTCCTGCTAAACAGTTAAAGACACAATGTGAAATCTCCAGCCTTAAGAAAGGCTTCAAACTGACATTAATGACCACCTTCAAGTTTTATTTCCTGATCAGAAGGAAGAATTATCACAGCTTCGTCTCCTTAGCCATGTTTATCTGGTGCAGTGTAAAACCCAGGCTTCCTAAGTGTTCAATTAAAACTGACAATTGCTTTGCAGCCAAGAAACAGCTCAGTCCAGATCAAGTCTAGAATCCTGCCAAGGCGATGGAGCCTTCTGCAGCTAAGCTGCTTTCTGCTCTACATTTGCAGTGCATTGTAGAAGGGTTCAGACAACTGGGGGGCAGATTTGACACGTAAATAGACACCAGGCGATAACAGAGGCGTGTCAAGACGGGGGATAGTGCAAAGTCTCACACCTCCAGTCAAAGAAATAAGTGTCATCCGCCCACACTCATCAATTTGACTAAATAAAATCTTTACTGGACACTTTACCAGCAGGCGCCACGCTTGCTTATGCGTAAACCTGCTAATCACTTTTCTTTTCGAAAAAATGCTTTTCCCTCCGAAACTCTGTCTTTGGTTTCCTGCAGTTTCCCAGAAAGCTTGTCTTTAGTCTCCTCCATTTTCTCAGAGATACGTCCTTTTGTTTCCTCCATCTTTTCCGTGAACCTCTCCTTCGTTTCCTCCATTTTGTCCTGGAAGTACTCCTTAACTGGCGGGGGTGTGGACATGTAGCCATGCTTCCGGAGGTACTGGACAGACAGTGAGGTCCCGCCCAAAGTCACTGCATATCTAGCTGGGGTTGCAATCTGTGGATGATAAAAGCTGAGGGTCAAGTGCTGAAATACCTAAATTTAGAGATGGAGCTGATAAGAAATAATACAGGATCTTTTCTTGGATCAGACATCAGACTGAGGACACTGATCCGAACAGGATGGGCTCATGTGGGTGGATATCAGTATTCCTTATTTTACTTCGAAAGATTAAGCTGTAAGCTAAAAAAAAAAAAAATTATAAATTATACAAATAGATTCGAGGGCAGTCCCTCATACTAAGCATGCTTGTACCGATAGTGGAAAGGGAAAAAAAAACTCCCTTTTAACAGGAAGAAACCTCCAGCAGAACCAGGCTCAGTGTGAGCGGCCATCTGCTGAGGCCGACTGGGGTTCAAGGAGACAGAAGCAGACATAGAAAAAGCAAGTGTAAAAGACGACGCAATCCTGGAAACGCACACAAAAATAGCTAAGAAAAGTTATGTTGTGCAGCAGTTCTGTGGCAGCTAACTGTCCACTGACAGCAGGCGTTCATGACTATGTTCATGTTTAAAACCTAAAACATCTAAGATTTTTAAGTGAATGATTATAGTCAAAAAGTATCTCTGCTTCTGTCTCCTTGAAAAAACTTTGAAAAATTATTTTGGGAAAGAAAACAGATAAACCCCTTTTTTTTCCGCTACCTGCCTTTATCCCACATTAAGTTCAGACTGAATGATTTGTTCCCCAAACCCGAGTGTTTAAACTACCTTGTACATGGCATAGGCAGTCAGTGCATAGCCACTGGAGGAATCTCTCAAAAGGCCGACCAGTGATTCTGGTAAACCGATCATCTCCAAGAACGGCACCACATTCACACCACTGTGGGACAAATTCAAACAAAAAAACAAGACCTTCATTAAAACTTTAAGAAAAGAAAAATCACAAAATGCCAAAAACAGGAAGTGATCTATTCAGTCACAAACTTGTAAAAAAAAAACAAAAACAAAAAAACATAATTTAACATACAGAATCTGGAAAAATCTCTTTTGTATCAAATATTAATGAACAGAACTCACTGCATGGCAGCATAATAGAAGGTTCCAAACCAGACGGAGGACGTTGCCAGATGGACGGGTATCATCACCTTCCCATACTGCTTAAAGGTCTTCTTAAACCTCTGGAAAAGGCTGATGGACTTGTCCTGCAGCGGGTCCACATCTACACACTCAGCCTCCTCTTTCGAGGTGTTCGGTGATGGAGTTGTAGACGCAGGATACACCCTGTCATCACGTGGAGACTCCTTAGGCTGATCTGCTACTTTGCAGGAAGCTGAAGCAGAGACCCATCGTTGGCCAACAGGCTGTAGCAGCGACAGACGGAGAATACAGAACCTGGGCGCCAGTTGATGTTCAAGAACAGCTGCACCCACTGAGCATGAGCGCACAGCCACCATCCGCCACAGTGTCCCGTGAGTAAGGATGTGCTGCATCATCTTCCTCAACCTTAACTTCAAGTCTTTTCCCCCCCGCTGCCTTGATGTTCAATCACAGACTGTAGGGAAATAAATATAAATAATCATCTTAACTTAGAAATAATACCCACTGGTCAGAGTCTGAAATAAACACTCGCCAAATGAGAAATTTTTCATTTGCCGAGTCAATGCCAGAGTCCTAGTGATGGGTCCAGCACCACAGATGCATAAGTGCATGCGTAGAGCCCATAGAGCAAAACATTGTATCGGTGCGCGTGTCGTTTTATGAAAGTCATGTGACTGATACAGGAGTTTTTTTCTAACTGACTGACTCAATAAACTGTCAACATGATTCATCTGCTAAAAAAAAATATGTCTCAAATTTTGCAGTTTATTATTACATTATCCAGAATTTTGGAGCAGCCTAAAAGAAACAGGAACTTTTCAGCCCTTGGGTGTTTTTATTTTAATTTTTTCGTTGCGTCATCCTTTTTCTCTCAGTTATCACTCAACGTATCCAATTTAAAGTTAATTTCAAATTGACTCTTAGTTTATTTAATGTTTTTACGGTATTAATTGTTTTGAAATTATATAAGAGCCTAGTCCACAAGCATCCTGATTCACATTTTCCCCTGAATTTTCACCTTATGAGATATATTATTTATTGGCTGCATATAAAAATATCAAAGATATTTTTAATTTAAACATGTATATGAAATATTATAACCTATTATAACTTAAATCTTATCATAGTACTAGGTCATCAAATCAATTCAGTTTAGTGTTTCAGATAAGCTGCTTGTAGTGTATTTAAAGGTCCAGCAGGTGTCAGTATCCTGTGAGACAGTATCAATGCAGTTTGGCAACGCGTCCACACGCTTTAAGATGCCTCATTAAATTACAGAGCACCATTCGCCACAAGATGAGTAAATGTTTGGACCACAGTTGGGCTTCAGTAACATCCTACGTCTTTTATTTTGGCGAGTCTCCCCTCTGTCCTTTTGTTCCTCTGCGGTCTGTTCGTCACGCCAACAGACAGACACGCATACACAGAGAACACCAACAAAACCAAGTCATTTAACAACTCACTGATGTGGTATAAGGTTGGAAGAAGCAAGCCTTCTAAAAGAAAACCTCCGGATGAGGAGGGGCAGTGAGGATCTATAGCCCCCAGAGCCTGAAAATTACTTTAGAAATATATTTTGGGGGAGGTTATCAGTTAATTACTATTATGTTGTGCTAATCATTATTCAGATTAATATGCCGCTTTCATTTTCCACCTTCTGTCTTCCTAGCTATAGTTTCAGCCAGGAAAACATATTTTTAGGATGGAAAACCTTTCCAGGGAAAAGTCTTGTAAGGTTACCTACGCAGCTTAATATATTCCTAACTCAGCAACGCATACATATGCAAAATGTTTGCTTTGACCATTTCGTTTTCTGCAACAAAATAAGCAGTTTTAAGAACCCCCTTTATTACGTAGTGAATGTCAAATTTTTTTATTTGCAAGAGATTTTTTTTTTAATGACAATGCCAAGCTAATGAGCTGCTCAGTGTGCAGCAAAAAAAGATTGGACGCAATTTGTCGCTGGCTGTCAGTATAGGGAACTAGAGCTCGTTAGTGATCACAAACGCAGTAGACGCAACATTGGCTGGATGTCCATGTCTCAGGCTCAATCGAAACAACCCATGCCACAGCAACTGAGTGTTCTGATTGCTATATAAACACTAACACAAGATGAAAATATTGTTTTGCACTTTCCAGGCCGTTGGAAAAAAGGCTACACTTTATTTTAAATGGCAATACAACACATCTTTTTGAACGGTTTTATTTATGGCCACTAAATCAAATAAGTATTTTTTTTTACAAAGTTTAACTTGTCTCTATATAAATAGTTTTCTATTTATGTATATAAAAGTTATAGAGCTTAATGGACTGAAAGAACTTAATTTAAAATCCTCCACATTACTTATTTGTATTACTTTAGGAGCTCTCTTAGGCCAAGAGATTGCTGTAGATATCTTAATTTCTGCAATTCAGTGAAGTAAAGTAGATAAAAACAGTCTTGGTTGTCTCACATCCACATTAATTAATCTTTTAAAGATTTTATACATTGCGTCAATTAATCTGTGACTGTATGGAGAAAATCTAGTTGACAGAAGCTATGATAGCATTACCAAATTAAGTTAGTCATTTAAGTGTAGCTAAACTAATATTCAAAGAACTCATTTTATGACATTTAATAGCTCATAAGTTACAAGGAGTCTCCCAGTATTCAGCACAAATTCAGGACATACATTGCTCAACATGACTGATATATTGCAACACAGCAATAGCATTACAGAAAAAAAGAAAATAGTAACACCATTATATTGGAGGAATGTCCATGGAAGAGGATTCTGGCCACTGAAAAAGTTTTTTAGTTTTTTAAATACTTCAGTTTAGTATGAGAAAAAAATTCAGAATTCTGACTTTTTTCCTCAGAATTCTGCCAGCTAACAAACACGATAGCATTAAGCATTAGCCATGTCTGTTTTAGAGACTAAACTAGCTCTCTTGTTTTGATTACCACCTGCTCTTCCGTTAATGCAATGGCATCATCAGACATGTAAAAAGTCGCCTAATTCCGTCATTTTTCACAAATATGTTACTGGCCCTCACAAACAACTCACTTCTTTGTCAGTGAAGCTGGGTGCTCCCACATCCCTTCCTTCATGGTGCCCATCTACATTAAGATCCACAATTCTGAGATTAAAATAAAAATTCTAAGAAAAAAAGTCAGAATTCTGACTTTTTCTTCATATTAAACTGAAATATTTAAAAATCAGTTTACTTTTTTTTTTCCAGTGTGCCCTAATCCTTTCTTTAAGAAGCTATGTGTGAAAGTTTGAAAATAGTGTATAGCTGTTGTATTCAGTCATGCTAAGCTAGCTGACATTGGGCATGCTGGAGGACAAAAACCACGGATCTAGTTTCCTTAGTTAAAAATAGCTCAACCAAAAAAATCCAGGGGAACGGAGAATGTTAATATCCTAAGCAAGACTTAACATCCTCGCTAAAATGAGAAGGAAACGGAGGTTAGGAAAGGCCACGTTCTGAACAGTAGCCAACTTTGCTATTGAAACTAGTTAGCTTTGAGCTAAAGGCGCTGTGAAGCTGGCTCTCTGTGAAATAAGCTGTAATTAGCTCTGTGGGGAAGTATTCTACAGCTAAAGAAGGTAAACCTGAACTTACGCACTGTTTTGGGTCAACTTTAAACACAGCGGACTCTTGCGGGCCATCAAATGTTCCAGAAGCACATTGAGCAGCAGACACCAAGGAGAGCAGCATATCCCTGAGCGTCCAGCCCCCAACCTAGCATTGCTACCTGGGAATTGTAGTTTATAAAGTGATGAATTGTTGAGGATACATCCAGAGTGAAAACTACATTTCCCAGCATCTAAAGTTTTTAGAGAGGGTGAAGGTTCATCTGGCATGTTTACAGCAAAATGTTAGGTTTGCACAATTTTTGATTAACTTTATTCGAACAGGAACAATAACAAGATAATTTTTAGGGCTTAAAACTTTTGGTTCAAAAGCTACTTTCTAGGATTTCTCCAAGATATACTTATATCGTTCATCTTCAATGTACAAATGTTTGGAAAAATAAAATAAAACATTAAAAAATATATAATATAAAAAAATAATGAAAGGGATCCATCGATCACTTGAAAAATTAAGTAGAAAACTTAATTTATTTTTCATTCTTGTTAGAACACCTTAAATGATTTTTCAAATATAGTACACAGTGGTTTAGATTTAACATACTTAAAATTATGAATGTTATATTTATAATTAATAGTCATGTTATTAACAAGGAATTCAAACCTTCTTCATCACGGATACTCTCATAAAATATTCTGGGTGGACAAAATAACATGAAGAGGAGGGTATAAAAAGATTGCCTTAAGTTGTCTTAAAACAATAAAACAGATGTTCTGTTGTTTCCCTTTGTGGTTGATTACATCAACCAATTAAGGATAAATACTTAATTATAGGAAATGTACCTATTTTTTTTTTATAGAGGTCAAGGAAGGCATCAACATTTTTGTTCTCAACGGCAATTGGGTTTTCTTTCTATATGTAATTTTAGTTTTAATAATTTAATTATAACTTTTATTAATTTGTAATTTTTCAGTTTAACTTTGTGAAGAAGTTATTCCATTTTCTATGAGGCAAATCTAAATTAGCATAGGTGTCAAGTAATGAAGTACAAATACTTTGTTACTGTACTTAAGTACACTTTTTAGGTATCTATACTTTACTCTATTACTTGTTTTTCTTCCTACTTCTGACTTCTATTCATTACATTTTCACAAAAGCATCTGTACTTTCTATTCCTTACATTTTTAAAACAAACGTTACTCATTACTCTTGGCTTCAGTTCAATGTTTATAATAATTTATTTCACGTCATGTGCGCCATCCAATGCAGATCATTGGCTCCATCCACATCTAGTGAAAACTACTGTGATTGGATGAGTCATAAAACGCAAACACTCAATTAGCTAAAGGAAATCAAGCAAGCAGGTGTTCTTCAAACTGCAAAACGTGAATTGGCTATGGTATCAGTATCGGCGAAGTACTGACAAATAGGGCATAGATAACACTTTGAGAGCCAAAAGTTTATTTTACTATTGTCACCCATTCCAGGAAGGCAATAAAAAGTTCTGCTGGATTCACTTTGTATTAGTCTTTTTCATGCTTCACAGAGGTAGGCAGCAGCTTGACAAAGCCTCCAACACCTAAACAAATTTGCAATCATTTCCAGATCGCAGCATTTTATTTCAGCTGATAACAAAAATCTAATTTGTTAGTAGGTATATCACAGCTTACCTTTTTGCAAAAGAAAGTCCTGTCTACCATTAGCAGCAGTATTGTTAGCTAAATAGATGATACCATTAGACATCTGCCAGTTCTTCTGCATGCAGTTATTAGAACACAAGATATTTCAAAGGAAGGACATGAAAGTAGGGCAGCGACGTGATCGACAATTATCTGAGGCCCAAAGAATTTGTTTTGAATTCTGTATTCAAAATAATACCAACCTGTGTTGCTAGCAGAGATGGGAAGTAACGAAGTACAAATACTTTGTTACTGTACTCAAGTAGATTTTTCTGATATTTTTACTTTACTTTACTACTTATTTTTATGGTGACGTTTTACTTCTACTCCTTACATTTTTACACAACTATCTGTACTTTCTACTCCTTACATTTTAAAAAATTGGCTTGTTACTTTAGTTTTGAATCATTTCAATGGAGTTACCGTAATTTTTTTTCACGTCATCAATACCAAATTCAATCTAATTGGATGGGAATCTACGTTGCATTTGACGCACCACTACAAGACGAATCGACAGATTCGGCGGTATTCATTCGTGGCAAATCATTGCAGCTTGGTGGCGGTGGCGTTAGCATAGTAGCATGGACGACGAGATGATTGAAAATGAACACAACGGAGATCTAGTCCTATTGGCAGACATCCATTTAAAATGTAGGCAACGGCATGAAAAAAGTGGTTTCTACTTTTACTTTTATACTTTAAGTAAATTTACAAGCCTGTACTTTGTTACTTTTACTTGAGTAAAGAAGTTTAATCAGTACTTCCACTTTTACCAGAGTATTTTTTAACACAAGTATCTGTACTTTTACTCAAGTACGGAAAGTGAGTACTTTTGCCATCTCTGGTTGCTAGGGTAGTTGATATATTTGCTTTTGAAATTTAATGTTAGACTTTATGGTTAACAAGGTCTAAATTTGACAGAGCAGTTAATATTGAGTATCTGGGAAGCATGATGATGCATTGGAGAAAAAAAAAAAAGCTAGCTTTTTTATTTTCATTAGCCAAACTTCTTAAGTGAGTTTCACAATGAGCAGGCGTACTTTACTGTTATACTCAATGTTTAAATAACAGGAATAAAATTAAGTAGGAGAATAATCATATAATATTGAGTTTGTAAATCAATATTATGACGCAATGCATGTTATAACCATGTTATCTGACACACAAGTGTGTAGAGGTTAAATAGTTTACTTATACTTAATCATTACTGATTAAAGATTGTTTGACAGATCATGCACCTATAGGGCTATTATCAGTAATGAAAAATTGATTGTGAAGATGAGTAATTATGTCATGCTCTTCAGTTAAACCATACTGACTTTAATTAATTACTTTAACATGGTACATACACAATATTTCCAAGGTAACAAGATTGCATTTTCTGTCCTGCAAAATAAAAAATCATGTTGATAAAGAATTTTATCACCATGACCCTCAACTCCTTAGATGATCTTGAGATTTATTTATTTTTTATTTCAAGTTGTGAGACAGATTCTAAGGAATTTGATGATTCTACAACAGTAAGGCCCATTTTGGCTACTAAACATGGCAGTTGTATTTACTTTACAAGACAAAGTTAAAAATAACTGCCTTCGTCCGTCTGTACAGAAATAATAGCAGAAAGTGTAGTAATCTAAACAAGGCAATTAGGGATGTCCTCAACCCATCTTTGAAATTGGTTTAAAATCAGCCAAAACACAAAAATAGGAATATATTGGCCTACATCTAAAATCTCCAATATAAGCATGCTGATAGAAACACCCTGCTTCTGTTTAAAGTTTATGTACCCCATTTATAAATGGGCTGGAAGTTTGTTGTTGACCATTGTTGTCTGCTTGAGTCACTTCACATGATCGGGTCTTTTAAAACATTCCTTTCAATTAAAGGAGTAATAAGAGCATATATAAATCATTCATATTTATATAATGAATTTATTATCTCAGGATCAGTATCAACAAATACTAAGACAGTATCGAAATTTACTAGTTGTACTATGACATCCCTAAAACTAAAAAATATAATATCATAATGAGGTTAAACTCCTTTTAATTACCTGTATTCGTTCCCCAGTTGACTGCTAGAAAAATAAAAGGCTGAACAATGGTGGTTTGTCTATAAAAAATAAATATATATATACATTTTAAAACATCCATCCATCCATCCATCCATCCATCCATCCATCCATCCATCCATCCATCCATCCATCCATCCATCCATCCATCCATCCATCCATCCATCCATCCCTCTTTATCCCAGCTGGGGTTAGGGTGGTGGTGCCTATATCCAGCTGTCTACAAGGCAGGCCGGTCCATCGCATGGCAACACAGAGATGAACAACCATTCACATACACACTCACACCTAAGAAGAATTTAGAGAAACCAATTACAGTGACAGCAGTGCTGCCCACTGCACCACTGAGCAGCCCCACTATCTAAAACATTCTGGACAATAACAAGCTGACTAATAATGCCATGTTTCTAATATCTTTCTCCATATTAAATACCATTTTGTTCTCAAGAAGAGCTGCTGATCATAAAGCACCCTAGATGTCTGCCACTCTTCTGCAGCAGCACCGCACGTCTACCAACAGCTTGTAAGGTAGTTGCATGTTGCCTCACTAGATGTCAGCATAACCCTGCAATCAGACAGTTTTCGATTTGTTGCATTTTGTCAAGCCTGGATGATCTTGGATTCATAGACATACATATAAGAGTAGACCCCGCACAGACAGCTTTCACCTATGGGCGCTGACAGGATTTGGTGGCACCATCCTGGGGCGGGCAACAGCTCCACTCTGTTTAATGTATTAAGGAGAAACACCAATATTAACCAACTTTAAATCGCTGAACATTGAACTAATTTTGAAGGGTTCTTTTTTTTTTTTTTTTTGCTAAAAACAACAAATGTTTCAGTTTATTTAAATATTCTTGGTGGAGTTAGTAGAACAGAATATTACAATAGGATGGATGTATGTTTTACAGCCATTCATCCATTTTTATAATTTATTTATTATTATATACACAAACACATTTATACAGATATGCACAAATATATATATACCGGTACACATATCTCTTACCATACATGTGGGCATCCTTCTTTTGTTCTGCTTAAACCATCTGGTTAGGGCAGCAGGTCAACCACTCCAAGATGGTCTACTTTTATACAGGGACAGATTTAGGAAATCTGGGGCCCTAGGCAAAGACGGGCACAGGGCCCTCTTAATCGAGAAGGAAACACATAAAACAGACCCATTATACAGAGACTGAAATTTTAATAGAATACACAAACATTATTTACTAAATTTTCACTGTCCTTAATGATACATTAGGATAATAACAATTCATGATATCTTCAATCACATTTTGGAAAGTCATAATGCCTTTTGAGATATCTCAAATGACGTCACCCAATTTGTAATTTGAAGTGTCAAACATTCGGAAATATAATCAAGATATCTCAAAGTTAATTTTGACTG